AAAAAAAGAAACCGATTCCTCTAATACGATTTCGAATATCTATTATTTATTTGATATTCCCGTCGCAGTTCAAAAGGGAGAACTATCAAAATCACTTCTACTTTGTTGGATATGTTTACTATATATTTACAAAACGCATTTTACAAACAAACATATTTTAAGATAATAGAAACCATTAAACTAAAATTCATGTATAAGATAAGGTGAAAATTAAAAGTTGCGTAAGCAAAATAAATACATTGATCTCTAGTAAGTCTTCAACTAAGTATTTTGTAAATTTCCTTATCTCTTATTCACATTGAAGTAAAGTTTTAGGCACAACATAACACCTGTATGGACCTGCTTCAGGTATTGGTTTCTTTTCGACCCATTCATCACATTCGGCATTATAAACTGACACGGACTTTGAGCACCAGCCTCCGACAGCCCACAGTTGATCACCTACAAAAACACAACCCATGCAACTACGTCCAACATTCAAAGAGCACATCTATGAAAAGTTATAAAAAATTGTATTTTGGTGTTTTTAAATTTTTGATGTAACTATTTCAAATAACCTTTGTCCATTTGTTACTTTGAGGGTCATAACGCTCAACTGTTTTATCTTCTAGATATCCACCTAAAACGTATATGCATCCATTGTGTACGGCTACCTAAAATGTGAAGTTTTATGCATACATTAGGACAAATCGACCTCTGATTATGCTTTTATCGTAAGCGACAAAAGGTAAATTTTACAGGAGAGGTTTTTTTTTGATTCTCCTTATTGAATGATAACTTTCTAATGGGACTATTTATTTTTTGCATACCTTATTTTCTAAAGGTAAAATGGCGCTTACGATATTTTTCCTGAACATGCTGAGAGGAAAGTTATCAAAGAATTGGCGCCTGCGATAGTTTTTATGTTGTATAATTTGGATATTTATAAACGAAGGAGTGCCGGTACTTTAAGGATTTTTTGAAAAAACTGAATTTTAAGTCAATTAAATATAAACATTGTCA